TGTATCCCAATAGTGGAAGCAAGCCACAGAGTAGCGACTACAGCTTGTTTATATAAAATGTACAAAAAAAAAAAAAGCTCTGTCAAAGGTATTTACAAGCCTATAAGAATTATTTCTACATGCTGCATAATGCCAGAAATAAAATAGAATTTTCCTCACCATGATCCTCGTCTTATTTTCCAAACACCTCCTATATGAAATAAACATGCTTGGATTCTCTAGAGAGGGGGAAAAAAGGATGTTTTTTATCATGGCCCTTGTCCTTGAGAATCTTAGAATGCTTTATGAGATATGTGCAAATAAAAAAGGACAATTTCAAAATCAGGAAATTTTCATGTATGTCCACTGGACAGCACAGACAATGCTGATGATAGATCAGGAACTGGGTACAAAATAAGGCTCTTGGTTATGATAAAACATGTAAAATGCCCTCCATTCCTGTTCCTTTCAGTCTAACTGATTGACATAAAAAAGAGGAAAGTAAGAACAATATGTAAATGGAAAAGCATCAAAACCACGTAGGATGTTCAAACTGATCTGGTGATGCAGTTCAGGGACAAAGAAGGAGAAAGAACAAGAGAATCAGCCATGGTATTTGTGACACAAATAAAAGATAAGCATCTTAATTAACAAAGAAAATTTGCATATTAGTGGTATATATTTTCACCTCCTAGGAATGCACTTTGAACTATCTCAAAATGTATCCCCTAAAAGGTAAAATACCCTTATTTCCAATAATAAATCTTAATTATGGATCCACCCAAATATTTGTTATACATTTTTAAGGATTACAGTTAGGTTAATTTACTTCCATCTCCCAACCCCTTTTTTCATTTAGTTTTTCATAAAAGACAAGGCTTTGCAGCATCAAATAAATTATATGGTATTTACTGTAGGGATTAACTTTTAAATTAAAACGCACGCTTGGTAACATGGTTCCTGACGGTCTACAGATTTGGGCTGTGTCTAAATGATATATGTAAAGAATCATTTTAGTGGGAAATAATTAAGTTAAGCAAACTGATTTCACATAAAATTGTTTTGACTAAGCTTTTCACTCTGTAACTGGTTTCTTTGGTATTATTAAAAGCATTAGGTTTTATTTAGAAATCACCCAGGAAAAAATTGACATTTCCCTAAGATAATGTGGATAGCTATTCATATAAGTCATCTTCAATAAACAGCATTTTTTTGTCCTAAATTATTTGGATTGATCATCTACATTGACTAAATTTATTTGTTATTGATGTTCTGATTTATTTAAGATTGCTCTTGGCTACATGTATCAAGATATTTTGTATTCTTGGGCAAAACAAAAACAAAAAGATTCAGCTTCAAAGCCGTTAAAAATAGTGTAAAAACACTTGTAGCAGCAAAATGAGTAGATTAGAAGCACCTTCTGAAAGCTATGCTCTCCAGCTAGCTTTTCCCCACCGTCTCCACTGGGACAGTACACTTAAGTTCCATCTAAAACATTTGTGTTTTGTTTATGGTCCACTGAGAAAAGAAATTCCCCCAGGGGGTAGAGGGCGCACTGGTGTGGTGCCATTGAGAGATGTGAGCCACCATAATATGTGCCTAATGAATTGCCATTACAAAGGGGAATCAGAGCTATTTCAAATGGCAACAGATTTGTTCATTCTAACAGGAGGAAACAAAATACACCTGACCACTTACACCTGTTCTTTAGGCTGTGTTCTCCCCTTCAGTCTGAAGAGCACATGGAGACTGCAAACAGCATTTCTCCTGAGGATGTTAGATCAAGAGAGGAGGCCCTGTGGCTGAGCATCATTGTAGAGACTGCCAGAAGCCGCTGAGTGACGGGCACTGCCCCGTGTGCAGGAGGCTTCAGGTTAGCTAAGGGGCTGAAGGGGCAGGGAGCACAGGCGGGATGAAATGAAGAAGACCTCTGCTTTCCCAGATTTGCAATTACTCCCTAACAGCTGACAGGACCATGCCTCAGTGCAGGATTTCTTCTCAGGCAGATGGATACTAACTTTAACTATATAAATATGCATCTTGAAGTGACGCATAAGGAGACTGAATGAACATCCTTGGAGTGTATTAATATACATACTTACACCCCCTCAATTTTCATGAATGCTTAGGACACAATATACATGTTTCAGTGGAGGTCAGAAGATGATGTTCTGTTTGAGGCTGGTGAGCTCCAGAATGGGAGTATCTTGAAGAATCAGAGAACAGCAAAGGCTTGTGACTATCTTTGTGAACCAGAGAGAAGGCAGGGCTTCCAAGGCAAGAGGGAAGACATTGAAAAAAGATGGACAGGAACGAAGTTCGCTTACTTCATAATTCTGCCCAGGGTACACCTTTGCCTCAAAATTTGGTAGCTCTCACACCAAAAAACAAAAAAAACCAAAAAAACCCTAACCATCAATTGTCATGGCTTACTTGATCCATCTTGTTGACCTGCGTTGTACTGCTAATGTACTTTTCATTTTTGAAAGCTAATCAGTTTCTTAGAGGGAGCATAATTTACGGATATTCTGTGTTCTTCAAGCCCCCATCTCACCCTACAGTCTACATCCATATCAGTCCACACCCAGGGGTATAAGACTTTCTAATTGGTAAAACCTCAGTGTCTTTACTTCAATTATTTTAAATCCATCTTCCTTTATACTCTTGTCATTCAAGTCCTTTAAACACTCCAAAATTATTAATTCCTCATGCCCCCAAACTATTACCAGCTAATCATTCTGATTTGACCTATAACACATGCACACTCTATATATTACTATGTCTATAAAACACACACACACATATAGTTTCACCATAACGCTGTGAACACTGTGATTTTACCTATGGCCATTCTCATTTTAACTACAATCTATTTTAAAAATCAAGACATCGTAAGGGCAAAATAATAACTATCAGATATTTGTTTCCCTTGGTCGGAAGCCTAAATTAGTGTGAAGCACAAATCCATGCACACAGCCATATTAAAAATATTTTTTCCCTAAATGAAGGTTCTCTGGCACAAACTGCTAGTGATTGTTGAGCCACTGAAGTTGTAATGCATTTCTGAAACACATGTTATAATCATCAAACCTAAATATATCTCTAATTAAAACAAATCCTTCCATGAGTATGAAGATCAAAAGGAAAGTGCTCTTGATATATTGCTGTTCAATTTAGGCCTCCACCTCTTGTGCAGAAATCTCCCAGAGATACTGCAAATCCATTAGAGTCTGTTACATACTAAAGCTTCTAGTTTAACTCCAATCGCCTGTGTAAAATCCTGGATTATAAATCACTGCGGCGATCTATGCCCAGGAACCGTCTAGTTGTATTGTTTATGGGAACGATTGGAGGAGGGTATACTGAGCAACATCTTAAGGGTTGACTGATCAGAAAATAGAAATGATATTTCCAAAACAGTGAGTGAAAATTCTCAGCACTTTCCATTCGATAGGCAGAAAATGAGGGGGAATCATTATATTCCTTTAAAATAAAGCCTACAAAGGAGCCTCCCTCGAATTATTGTTTTGCTCAAACTGTATGTAAAGCTTTTTGAAAAATCTGAACTACTTTAAAAATATGAGATATTGTTACTACTATCATTGTGCTTTAAATATTGTAAGTGTAACTCTTCATTGCCCACTTTAATATACCTGTGCCTTTGGTTTTCCATTCAGCTCCCTGAATTTCAGTGTTAGTTTCTTCTTAAAAATGTTACATATACTATGCTATTTGATCCCATTGTCATTTTTTTATTACATTATATTGATCAGTCTGTTTATTTCTTCTAGTGGATCCAATCCCTGAATCCACTTTTTAAAAAATCCACTCAATTTTTAAAATTGAGAACACTCAGGGCAGCCTCTATAAGACTGACACCTGGTGTCTCTGCCATTAAATTCCTATAAGTTTATCAGAAGATAATGTCTGGTAACAATAAGAAGGTCTATCATTTCCTAAATTTGATATCCATGTAACAAAATTTGGAAAATTTTAGCATTCACTTGAAAGTTGATCCTCTTTTTCTTGTTTGTTTGTTTTTTTCTCTTCTTCTCTCCTTCTTCTTGTAATGCTTAATTCCCTTATTCTCCCCTCCCTACCCACCTTCACTGCTTAGTCTTCTGCCTTCTTGTCCCATTCTCCCTCTCACAACATTTCTCTTGGGAGTATTAGAAGGCTGGTTAGCTGTTACATTTTCTTATATAGACCTAAACAAAAGCTACCCAAGAGTGTCCTCCGTGAGAACTTTCACAGTATTAAAAAAAAAAAAATCCCCATTTAGTGTTTATGTTGGGTGCACATGTACTAGCATATTACCTTGGCCATTTAGATACTGTGGGGGTCAAAGGTAGACTGAAATATGGGGCCCAGAGACAAAGGAAATCATTTAAACATGGAATGGAAATTAAGTAGCAAAAAGAAAAGGAGTGTCTTTGTGTCTCTTGTACTTTCTTTGTGGTAATTCACCAGATAACACCAAAAATAATAAAGTGTTTCATCTGTAAATCATTCAGTATATATATCTGGTCTGAACAGCTAGATGTAAACTAATGGAGGGCAAGTTCCATGTCTTGAACTTCTCTATATCCTTGAAAACACAGCACAGCTCTTCACATACATCAGGCACTTAAAGAGTTTGAGTGAAGTATATACAAATCACCGTGAAACTGTGATTACCCCTTGAAAATTGACTATAATTGCTTCATACTATCTAAAGGGTTTAAACAATGCAAATGAAAAGGAACTCACACACAGATACACAGACATATAACAAATAAACATACCCCTCAAAAGAAAGAAAATTATATGAAACCATGAAACTGAAGATAAATACAAACACACAAGAGAAAAAATTATATAAAAAACATATCCATGTAGAAAAATCAATTAATTTGCAATAGAGTTGGTAACTTAAAAATAATCAAGACCATCTTGATTATTTTCAGTAATCTAAGTTTCCAGGAATTGGTGAACCTGTGAGTAGCTGTGCAATTAATATTTACAGTGAGATATTGACTTACATGTACTTGGATAAGTCACGTTATCTGATTTATGCTTCATGCTTCTGTATCTGAGGTGACAATACTATTTGCCTTCTCATCCACCTCCTCTGCAAAGATGCTCTGCAAATAAATGAGGTAATGTTTGGGAAATGTTTGCAGCTTGGGAAGGAAACCCACTGCATACATCTCAGGTGTTATCAATTCCATATTCAAGCCTGGCATATTATTTTTATTTTAAATTGAAATTGTACTGTTTGAGTTCTCGGTTCTGACCAAAATCTGGGTCAACATAAGAGGATGATTATTTTTAATTTTAATTCTGAGGCTCTGTTCGGATCCCTTGCACGTGTGAGAGAAAACTGTAGCAAATAAACAAAGCACATAAATCGAGCTTTGAAAGAGAAAAATCTCTATCCAGAAGGATTTTTTTTTTCAATGAAGAGCATGAACACTGTATTTCCCCGGAGGAATATTTCGGTCCAGGAAGGAGGATAGTGCATGCAGTGTGAGGGTGTGTGTGCGTGTGTGTGTGCTGTGCGTGCGCGCCCGCGGAGAGAGGGGCGGGGGAGGCGGATGAGGAGGATGAGATCATAGTTTCAGGATCCTCAGGAAACCCTGGTACTGGCAGCAGCCAGCCTCTGCTGTGCCCACATGACCCACAACTCTGGCAGCGGACCCGGCACTTCCAACATTATTAAATAATAAGAAAGCGGCTCCTACTCCATGCCCAAACCTCCCTACAGACCAATGGACACCTTCTAAGAGTTTGGCGAGTCGGTGACTGAGACGCCCGTCCATTCCAAGGTGTGTGCAAGGCGTTTTCCTCCTTGACAGCTCCGGGAAGGGGGAGGGCGCGGGAGCGGAGGGGTCCGGGCGCCGGCCGGGGAGTGGGCGCCGGCCGGGCCGCCGCGCGGTGCCCCCGGCCGCCCGGAGCCGCGGGGCGAGCGGCGAGGCGGGAGATGCCCATGACGCGCAGCCCGAGCTGCGCAGGGACCGCAGCCGCCCACGGCGCCGGGGCGCGGGCACAGGCGGCTCGGCTGCCGGAGCAAGGGCAGGCGCCGCGCACCGGCCAAGTCAAGAGTGGAAGCGGGCGGCGAGCGCGGGCTGGGGAAGGGAATCGCCCCAACGCCCACTCGCGGGGCTCCCACCTGTGCGCGGGCGCCGGCCGCCGCGAGCGCCAAGCATGTGCCGGGCGCCGCAGCCAGGACTGCGGCGCGGCGCCTCCCCCGGCGGCGGGCGGCGCCTCGGGCCCGCGGGGCGGCGGTAGCGGCTGCGGCAGGATGGCCGGCCCGGGGGCGCGGGGCCGCGCAGGTAAATCTCGGCCGCCCGCGGGGGCCCGGCCGTGCCGCAGCCCCCGCTGTGGCCGCCGCGCCGCTGCCGGGCTCGGCGATGGCAGCCGGCTCCGTCGCGGCGCGGGTCGCGTTGTTTTTGTTGTCCGTGCTGCGCTCGCGGTCGTCCTCGCGGGCTGAGCCGTTGGGAGGTGGCGTGGCCACCTCCATTGGGGATGGCACTCACGGTGGGGAGCGGTCTGGGGGTACTGACCGGGAAGGCGGCGATGGGTCCCGTCCCGCCAGCGGCGTCTGCGCGTGTTGCAATGCACTGCGGTGCCCGGGCGGATTCTGAGGGGGGTGGGCGCGCGGCGCCGGGGGCGGCGGGCGGCGGATCTGGGCGCGGGGGGCGGTGAGTGGCCTCGGCTTTTATAGCCTGTTGCCCATTTTGGAGTTTTCCGCTGGACAGGGGGCGGACGGGCGGTTCGTTCTGGTGCCTGGAGTGGGAGAAGGAGGGGTGTCTGTCAAAAGACCAAAGCCAAGGAGAGAAGAAGCGTGGCCCGACAGCGGTGCTGGGCTCAATGGTACCGTTCCTGGGACTCGGTAGTAAAACTTTCCTCTTTGGCAGGCTTGGGGTACGGCTTAGAGGAGATAAGCGTGGAGCTTGGGGGAGAAATACTGGATGTACACTTGTAGAGAAGCTTACCCCTTAGGTTCATTCTTGCTCTAAAAAAAATGGTCTTTTGAGTTAATGTTTACGTTCAGGTTTTCCTGTTTTCTGTTAGGATCACTTGGTATTAATGTGTTTGTGTTTCCTTTTGAACATAACAGTAACCCGTATTGTTGAAGTATGCATAGTTACCTTTCTTTTACAAGTATATATATATACTTATTTTGCTTATTCCAAAGGTAGAAACTTTAGGAAAAACAGCTCTCCATGTGTTCCAGGCACAGTTCTGTGCGCTTTCACTCACTCAATTCTTACCGCAACATGAGAGGTCTGCATGCATTACCTACACAGGGGGTCAGATTTTAATAAGATTTTACAAGTGAGGAAATCCAGACGCAGAGAGCTGAAATAACCCAAAGTCGTATAGTTATTAAAAGTTAGAGCCTAGTTGGTCTCTCAGTGCACTCTTAAGCAACTCATATATTTATCTATATGGCACCCCATTGTGCCTAAAGTCTTCTATGTTTCATATATTGATCACGTTTCTCTACCAAGATGAACATCTTAACTATGCGCTACGGTTGGACACAATTAAGGTTTTCTAATTTTTAATACTATATTATAGTAAATATCCTTTGAGTACTTTTGTCACAATTAACCAAGTTTCCTACAATTATAAACTAAAGTAATATTTATCAGCAAAGTTAAGATTTTCAGCAGTTAAGATTATCAGCCAAGTGAATTATCACAAAGCAGGTGGCTGAATTGATCTATAGTTTGCACTTAATTTTAAACTTCCTAAGGTATTAGTCTGGTCTTTGCTCAAAACATGGCCATCATTTTCCTCAGAACACCAGAATCTTTGAGCAAGTTTAATCATCTTTAATCCAGTCATTCTGACTAGAGGTTAAGCAGTTTTAAAAGAAGAATTTTGCAATTCTCTTTAAACTGTCAGTGATTAAAAGTGGGTTATATTTTGAGGGTGTTCGTGTATGTCTATACCTTTTAGCCAGCTGTACGTGCTTTATACAAAGTTGCGTAGCAATGAAGACTGAAATCAAAATTTCTCATTAGTTCTAAGTTGAAATACTTTTAAAATCTCCACTTGCTTTAAATGAACCATGATATGAAGAAAGGTCTCAGTGGGGTGAACTCCCAACTGCACAAATTTAGAGAATTACTCATTTGAGCTTATCATGAACTCTCATAATATTCATTTTATTGGATGGATGTCTCTCTTAAGTCTTCATCTGTTATTTCTTCACGTAAATTTAATTGCTCCTTCACATAACCAGTTTCAAATTATTTTGACATTCACAGATTTCCTTAATTCTTGTCTCTCAGTTTAATTAAATTCAATATACATATTTCAAACCCACAATTATTCAACATTATAAGTGAAAAGACTAGAATCCAACTGAACTACATGGACACATGTTCTTTGGATATGAAAAAAAAAAATTATCCTGTTCTTCAGTGGTTAACCTCCTCCATGCCCCAAATTATGGTTTCAACTTTATTTTGGGATACCAGAGCAGTGCTGTGGTCAAAATAGTTACATGCTATCACACACAGTGTTTGTGTTACTGAAATTGAATTTGCTTTTTCCAAGTCTGTATGAAATGTTAATTGTTTATTCTCTCATACATAGATATATCCTTTCTTACCTAACTCAGGACTGTTCCGATTTTCTAGCTTCTGTTACGTATTTTAGAGAAAGCATTCCCTTGCTACTTTTACCTCACCTGGTGGATATGACATGACTTTTTCCTTTCAAGTCCCACACCTCTAGTTTTGGGAGAATTATAATGTCTCTGCATCCTGAGAGCCCCTCTGTTTCAGGTGCTGGATGGGGAACTAGGGATCAATAATGAGCAGAAAGATGAGTGAGCCCTGCCAACACAGGGGGTCAGATTTTAATAAAACAATTATACAAATAAGCGTTTATTTGCAAATTGAGGTAGTTTCTCTGAAAGAAAGAATTCTATAAAAATGTGTAATAAAGGATTCTGCACTAGACGTAGAGGTCAGAACAGGATGCCCGAGCAGTCACATATTTGTGGAGGAATGACATGTGAGAAGGTGTTTACTAAAGTCAATTGTCTTCTTAAATGCATTCATAAATCTTTTCTGAATTATTTTCTGAATCAGAGACTTTTGTCTCACTCTGGTTATTGCTACACTTCTCTATTCACCAGGAGCCATACTATTTACCATCATTATTCACCTAGGGACACGGGGAGATTTACGAAACTATCAATACCTTTTAAAGCATGTAGAGCATGGGCTACATTTATCTAGTTATTAACTTATGTATAGAAAGTTACTTAAGTTTAGTGAAATATAATCATTTTCTTTCTTTGCTTTAACAACTACTTTGGAATTTTAAAAAAGTAGTTGTGTGTGTGTGTTTAGTTGTTAAAAGTGGCAGAATGTCTCAAAATAGAAATGCAATTGATTCATCACACAGTCCCTAAGATTCTCTGAAGTGTCCAAGGGAAGAGAAGAGACCCCAGAGTAAGGGAGGTGGTATTAAGTGATGAATATGCTGGGAACATATGTATTAACAATTTCAAGCAAGCATAGTAACTAAATTTGTTGAATAGTTACTGTGTGCTGGGTATTCTGTGGGATATAGATAAATTAACTTATGTATTCTTCACGATTGCCTAGAGGTCTGCATGCATTACCTATATCCCCATTTTATAGAACAGGAACTGAAGCATGAAAAGAGCAATAATCATGACCACTGTCACATAGGTAGGGATAAAACCCTAAATTCAAGTATTCTGATATTGTAGTCCACACTGTTAGCTGTTGATGTGTAGCACCTAGTTCATAATTTTACTAATGCGTTAAATTCCCATCATCGTTGAAAATAGTAACACCTCCTAATTTGATCCTTTGGTTACTTTTCCCTTAATAAAAATCAGTGGGAAAAAAATAGAACTTCCTTTATGGCAATGCTTTCTGCTCCATATTTTACAGGCAAAATATACATAAAGCAAGAAGAGATATATGAATTCCTAGACAAAGATTGGAGACCACTAAATTATGAGAAATTTCTCATTATATGTTATATATTTTTAAATTCAAAAATAGTCATTTGAGCAGCATTTGAAACTATTGAAATTTTTAGCATCAAGAATATGTACTTCAGCATTTCAAGTAATTAGGGAAATATCTTTAACAGCTGGAAGTTCTGTGACCATTAATAAACTTAAGAATTTTAAGTCACCTGTTTCACCTACCCCAGTGTCTGCCCAGAGTATGCACTGCAAAGAGGACATAAAGTATGACATAATAACACCTGTTGAATTGTCTTGGTAAGATTTAAGACCCTGTTAATTTTTACATTGGGATCTTCTGACATGACTCATAGTAATTGTTATGATAAAAACTTAGTCGTTTTGAATATTATCCAAATAATGCTAATCTAAGACACTTGGAGTATATTATTAGGAAAGTGAAGTGCTAATTTGTTAAGTGTACAAATCATATAAAGATCTTTGCACAGTGTCTGAAAATGTTAGTCAATGTTATTTCTCCCTGAAGATGATGGGTAATATGCAGCTGATAGGATAACCATGAATCACAGTTCATACATAGAACACACATACAATTACATGACTCCTTTCTTTGAAACTGTTGGAAATGCTTAAGGCAGTGCATACATTTTCTGTTACTCCAGTATCCCTCTCAAGAATGTGATACATCATTTCTCTGTATGCTCAGTTTCATACAAAGCTTGATTTCATGGAATAATTAGTAAACTATTGCTCTAATTTATACTATAAGGAAGAGCTGCAAGATTTGATCTGACTTTGTGTGTGTCTGTGTGTGTGTGTGTGTTTGGTGTTATCAGAGTGGAGGATGACATCGAGTATACCAATGAACAATTCGTTAACTGGAGTTTACAATTTGATGTCATAGTATAGTGTCCTGTGGCAGACTGTTTTGTATGTTTGATGTAAATATAAAATATATTAACCAGTTATGATTGTTTAGGTTATGGAGTCATAACAAACAACTTTAAAATCTCAGTGACTGAAAAGAACAAAGGTTTATTTCTTGCTAATGCTATGTGCCCATATTCACCAGTATAAGACTCTATTCTACATCCCCCTCTCTTAAAGATTCATGCTAATAAAGCCCCTGTCATCCAAACATCCTCATCTCTCATCAGGCACATGGGAACATGGTGAATCACCCACAAGTTTTTAAAGGCTTCTACCAGGAAGCAAGACTTGCCATTTTCGCGCATATTTCATTGACCAAAGCAAATTATACAGCCATTCCTAACCAGAAGATGGAAGAGAAGAGCAATCTGATCCTATGCCCGGATGGAAGAACAGTGTGATAGTAGTGAACACATTAATGATTACCATATAAAATGAGCCAGTTTCCTTCAACAGTTTTATCACCTAAAAATGACTTACGATTTAATGTAAAGTAGAATCAACAATAACTATATTTTAGAACTTCACCATAGGAAGGTAATTCCTACATAAAATCACCAGCAAGGAAAGTAGAGACTAAACTTGTGAAACGGATGATATCCCCCTTTTTCATTAGGGGTGTATTTAGTCAATGAATGATCGTAAAGCTATGATTTTAGATGGATGCATGATGTAGCCTATTTGACAGTAAGCACAAGCCAAGAACAGTGCCAACAGCTGCATACAGCGCCCAAGCTGTGTTTTCTGAATACATTTGATAGTATCA